TTACAGAATAAAAATTTATAAGATTAATATTTACCAACGTCAGAATCGCTGTCGCTAAAGAACGGATTGAAATCAGAACTGGCGTTGCTCTCTTCGTCCGTATGATGATCGTCTTCACTTTCGGTACCACTTAATTTGTACTCGGAGCCAAAACTGTGAGCGCCGTTTCTGTCCTCGTCTGATATTTCTTCTTCTGATGACCAAGAGCGCACTTTCTTTGTCGCACGCTGCTCTACTTGCCGAACCGGCTTCCTCTTGCTGCCTCCCGCAGAACCGCCAGCACCGTCTAAGTCATCATCGTCTAACTTGAATTTTGGTGGTTCTAAACCAAGGAGACGCTGAATGCGATTACGATCTGGCGCCGGAAAATGTTTTTCCACTAGCGTTTGCAGAACTCCCTTTGCAGTAGAAACAAAGTCGCTAAGTTCGCCGTCGTCACGTTCCAACTGCTCCAAAGTACGTGCCTCGCCGGTAGACTGTAGACCAATCACCACACATTTACCAAATTTGACCGCCTCGCGAGCCACAGACACCGCATGTTTCACTTTCGCGGCGATACAGAGATATTTGAAGAAGCGTTGATGCGCCGACCAGAACTGGCCCCACATTGTTTTTTTCATACGATTCTCCGCACCTATTGACTCTGCCGCTTCCTGGAACCTCTGCATCGCTTCCACCCACTAGATCGAAATAAAATTGTGTGATTATAGGAACCGACCAAATGTGAACAAAATGTTTCATTTTTTTTATATTTATCTTTGCATGACTCACCAATCGCACAGAGTGATCATAAACTTTCGTGAAATCCTTGGAAAGAGGTACTTCCTCGATCTTAAAGGCAACACCGTGAAAACTCAATTGCCGAGCAATATACATGCCGCGCAGCTTCATATCCATCGCGCCGACTCCGCGCTTCTCCACGGCAGTGATGAAGCCATTGAACTCCGGGAAAGGCGTGCCCTCACCCCACATACCTAATCGTACTATGTAGGCCATATTGCGAGGTTCAGAGGCGCCGGTTGCACTGGCATATACGACTCTAGCCTTCGGAAGCTTATTCTGCAGTTCCAAAACTGTTAATCCTGCAACAAGTTTTATGTCATCAGTAAAATAACTTGAAGCTACCCAGACACTTCAAAAAAGTTTTTGCGCGTGAAATTCTACTCCAACCTGTCTTAGTGGGTTTTGAACTTCCGGTAGGACACAGATTCTTTGCCCGGTGACACTCGTCGAAAATTATCAGACCGTCGAAATCGTCGCCGCACCATTGAAACAGCTGTTTCAATCGGCTCTTATATTTCCCGCCACTCTGCGACGATTCCCCAATTAATGCAGAATACGTGCTGAAGATCACACCTTTCTTCACATTACCGTTCACAGCTGACGAGACTTTTGCGTATTTAAATTTATTCAAAGGATGTACCTGCAAGCCAATTTTTTCATTGTAATTTACGATCGACTTATCTTTAATAATAATTATTTCAAATAATTAAAATTAATATTTATTGTGAAATTAAAAAAAAAACTGAGTTTTAACATCAGTATACATATATTCAATATAGCGCAGATAAATTACGTACATCTATTTTCGATGCACCTATGTCCTTTAAGTCGCGCTCGGCATCGTATTTAAGATCGTTCGACACCGACACCCAGATGGCACGTTTTCGACCTTTCAAGTAATTCTCGAATATAATACCGGCTATAGTCCTGCCTTTACCAACGCCCGCGCCATCGCCGATCAGAAATCCAGCGCGTGTACCGTCGGGTAAGAGATGCTCACGCTGTTGAGAAGCGTACGTGATGGACTCGAGTTGAAGCGCAGAGAGCGCACCGGATCGTATCGTTTCCTCCGGTATGGAGACCTTGTACATACCAAACATCTGTTGGTTCGACGCTTGACAAAGAAGCTGTTTCCACAACCGGATCCGGATGCTTTCGTCCAAGTTTGACTGTTAATTATCGCAAACTTTAATTCAAAGCAAGCCGCGCATAGGTGAATAAAGATAAACATTGATCGTACGTTTTGTTGGCATGTAATCGGCGTAAGTCTCGGCGACACCCATATCTTCGTCGTCTACTTCCTCCTCTTCTGGAATATTTGGTTGCATCAATTTTGTCGGGTCTCCTGCATTCATCCACATCTGCGACACTGCCTTACCTATAATAAAATTATAAATAGTACATGTTTGCCTCGTAAGATGTTCTTTCGATCAGAGAATCTTTATTAAGGTATCGCAAATACCTGAAAGCCCCGACCAATTGGGTTGTCCATGTCCAGTTTGATTAAGTAACTGAACAAAAGGATTAACTCCCATGTTCATTCCAGGCATACCCATGAAACTACCCATCGAAGCATTCATGTCCATGCCAGTCATGTCTAGGAAACAATTCAATATTATTGTAACATATGTATATATATAATTATAGCAATTGCATCTCAAGATTAAATTTAAAATTATTATAAATTCAAGATATAAAGTTTTATTTATAATTCAGTGATCAGAGTGATGTATGTGCATAGATAATATTCATTCATACATAAAAAAACAAAACAAAAAAAAAAACAAAAAAAAACAAAAAAAAACTCGTGAGAAAAAAAATTTCTATGTAAAATTTATTTTTATTTTTAAAGAATACATACTTGACTGAAGAAAAGCAGCAGGATTAAATCCTACAAGTCCTGGTGGAAAACCAGGATATCCACCAGTTGCTAACTGATTAAGTTGATTCAATTGACCTGTGCCAGCGAAATTTGGTGGAGTACCTTGAGAGCCTCCTACACGCACCATCTCGTAGCCTGGCGCTGCTGCTTTTGTCACTAAACCTCCAGGAATTTTATTACCAAATTTTTTATTTAATTCTAAAAATAATTGTCGCAAAAAATAGATTTTTGATCAACCGAGAGATGTGTGTGCTAATAAAAAAAGTACTCGTATTGCTTTAAATATTGTGACCTACCGTTTAACGCTCCTTGTGTTTTTTCCAAAGAATTCTCTAGCAAGTCTACAGGCTTCTCATCTTTGATACTTCCAATTCCAGCGGCCGTCGCCAGATCTTTACCGCCACCTAGCAAATAGTTTTTTGTTAGGTTATAAATTTTATGTGGGAATAATCATATTATCTTGTACAAAGTGACGACTCATAGAATATCTGATTGAATAAAATCTACATATGCAAAGTTGTACAAGTTCATAACTTACCAGGTACTTCAATTTTATCGGGATCCTCTTCATCGTCAAAGTCACTCCCACTGGTACCATCGCTCACTCCGTCATCATACTTTTTTGTTGCCTGCAAAAATACACGTCGCAATCAACAGATTCAACTCGAATTGCAAAAATAAAAATCCAAATTAAGAGCAAAAAAAGAATATATAATCTATCTATAAAAATACTTGTTCGTAATAATGTAAAACTTTTGTGTACATGGAGCGTGTAGCGTATTAAATTTACCGAGCCATTATAAAATAAGCAACTAACGAAAGAATATTAAAAAAGTATAATAATATTATA